TTGTTAAACTGTGAAGACGAGTACAGTCTTTTTTGTGACTACTAACCTGGTGGATTATGTAATTTGTCTGATATTGGTACTTGTGCGATAACATTGGCAACTCCCTGTGCAAAATCAGAACGAATTTGCCGTTGTTTATCGGTAGAAAATGTAGTATTGTCTATCGTCGATTGTAACGATAGTGGATGATTTTCACTATCATTTAAGAGTGATGTAGATGGATGAATTGATGGCGCTATTGAAGATGATTGTTGTGATTCATTAAAGATACTTGCATTTGTTGCCGGATCACGTATTAGTAATGGTTTTCTTTCACGTTTTTGAGCATTTATACCGTTCAATTCATGAGAAGATGACGATAGTAGAGTTTGTCCAGTGTTCGTAGAAGATGAAATCGATGATTGAGATGTAACTGTTTGAGATGGTATTGATTGGTGTTGTTGTAACGTGAGATGATTTCCTTGATTGGACATTATTGTTTGTGGATCATGATTGGGTCGAATTGATTGTGAATGTGGACCAGAAATATAAGGTGGTGGCATTTGAGATGGAATGTGATACACTAAAAAAATAAATAAAATTGTTTTTATTCTTTGATATAAACGTTGCTTATTCAATCTGATATCAAGAACTGTAATTACATAATCCACCAGGTTAGTAGTCACAAAAAAGACTGTACTCGTCTTCACAGTTTAACAAAAAAAATACAAGAATTTCGTATAGTCACCTTACGACATAGAGTATCAGTCATTTCCTAATTCAATAACTTGAGATTTCTATAATATTTCTTCTGCGTACTTAAATGCTTCGAATTGGAATGATAATAAAATAAAAATTCTTCTCATTGTAGAAAATTATAATCATGGATTGACTTAAGCACTCATGATTTCTCTTTTGACTCGGATTTATAGTGTATTTATCGTAAAGATTAATAGTAAAAGAATGAAATCAGTTTTTCTCCTTCATACGTGTGTAAGTTCTCAACTACTATTCATTTCTAAACAGAGTGACCACGATTATATTTTGAATAAACTGACAAAAAAAATGTGGTGGACACACCATCTTGGAGTAAAAATCATTCGCCTAGATATGCTGACTTGACAACCTCAAACTTCCAGGTGGTGTATCGGACAAGTGAAACAAAGAAAAGTTCATTATGCACCGAAATCAACTCAAATTATATGATTAAATAGGCTAAAGTATCTTGTACAAAACTAAGTAAGTTCGAAATCACTAACTGCCATGACTCTCGGATGGCATAGGTTTCGCGGGGATCTACTTCTCTCAGTTCGGCTAGCTTTGAACCAGGGCTGGGCAACTTCAGCTTCATAGTTGAGAATGTTTT